CATCATCATACGGCATCCCAAAGCCTAGATTGGTCACATTCAAATCAGGCCGAGAGAGTGAATTTGCACTTCTGAAGAAAGGATTGGACAGCTTCCTAGGGCCTCATGCACACCTCACTGAGGAATATAAATATCACATCCTGCTGGATCATTTAGAGCATCCATGTGCTCTACAAGTTGCTAGGCGCTATATTCATGACCGCACTCCCTACACTAGTGAAATTCAAGTATTAGAACAGAGATATGAACAGCCTCAACAATTAATCCAGAGTGAACTCAGTGCTATCCTTAACTGCTCTCCTGTTAAGGTTGGTGACCCTCAAGCCTTTGAAAATTTCTCCCTGCAGTGTCTAGCCTTGTAGGTCTCCTCAGTACTATGGATGATGTAGCAGCCAGTGAGCTCCACTATGGTTCACATGTAGACTGGTTACTCGCCAAACTCCCTCCTAGCTACAGAGACAGTTTCATCGAGTACTGTATCACACGTGGCATTATACGCACTGGGAGCAGCCGCACATACAACATGTATGACCTGTCTGAATGGCTCGAACGCAAGTCAGAAGTTCTTCAGCTATCCAGGCAAGCCACTCAGCCACAGTCATCAGACAGACCATGACCGGGGAGAAGTAACTCCATAGTATCTACAGGGTCCAAAGCACAGAGTAAGTCTGCATCCATATATTATGACACAGATCCTTCTCAAACACCCACAAAGACATACACCAAGGCAGAAGCTGTTAGTCCTTCTTCCCCTTCCAAGAAGAAACAAAAGTTTAAGCCATATTGCCCATACTGTGAAGGAACAGAACACTACCTCAGTGGCTGTGTAAACTTTAAGAAGTTAGATGTTAGAGTTATGATTATAAAATTATGCTACATTTGTGTGCTGTGAATCAATCAAGAGGGTCGTAGACTTTTGTGACCTGCATCCTGCTATCCTGTGATTCAATCATTGGGTCATGAGGCAAAGTCACACGGTTGCATCCTGCTGTGATTCAATCAAGAGGAGCATTTTGTCCTATGACCCAATCAATTGCCTTGTCAGAAGAACACTGTTCTGTAACCCAACCCATGTTATGATCTGCTAATAAAAAGCTTCTGCTGAGGAGACCGTGAGAGGGCAGATGTAGCTGAACATGACTCTCTCCTCTTGCAGGAGCCAAAAAACCCTATTCTGTGTGGACTCAGTTTCTTTTTTATCATAAACCTACAATTTTGAACGTAACATTAGACCTCACAGCTGTCGCCACATGGCTAAAGGATACATTCCAAATGCTGGCGCTGCGGCCCTAAACACACTCTAGAACAGTGCACTCTAAAGAAACTGTGCACCACCTGTGGAGAACAGCACTTATTAGTGCTTCATGACCTGGTTGAGGCTAGAAGGCGGGACCCTAACATCCTAACAGTGAGTACCAGAAGAGTATTTCTGGATCCTGTCAGTCACTCTGGTCATGTAATGCTCAAGGTGACGCCCATTCAGTTATACCATCAGATAGAAATCTGTAGACATGTATGCTCTCCTTGATGACGGCTCAGAGAAGACCATCATACTCCCACCTGCAGTTAAGTTATTAGGCTTATCCCCAGAGGAGAAAACTCTATCTCTGAGCACCATCCGTAAAGATTTGATCCAGATAAAGGGAGGCTACGTCTCATTCCAGGTATCCCCGAAGGCCCAAACAAAGCGCCGTTATAAAATAGCACATGCCTTTACTGCTGAACAGCTCAGCCTAGCTGAACAGTCATGTCCAGTGGAACTCCTGAAGGAGAAGTACTATCACTTACAGCAAGTGCAGCTGGAGGGATTCAACCAGATACAGCCTCTCGTGTTAATCGGTTCAGATAACGCTCACCTTATAACTCCGGTCCATCCAGTCAGGCGTGGCCCAGCCAATGCTCCTGTCA